CCAGTCAGATGGGATTACGTTCAGTTCTCAGACTCTGCGTAAGACCTCAGTCAATATCACTGCTAATACTGGACCTCCATCCTTAAAAACCTCAGGGGTAAACCTGTCAGAGCCTGCTGATCTGAAAGTTGATCGGTTGTTGCGTATTCTGAACGTCCTTTATTAAATCCTTATTGAGGTCGACAATGCACACAGTTGGATAGTCCCATACTAAGACGAAACAGCTGTTTAATTCTTCCTGATTTTTAGTTGTCATATTACAAGTTCAGCGAACTGTATAACCCCTCTACTGAAACTTCAAACTTAGTTATCTCTTTTCGCTTTAGATATATTCGAAGTTCAATCTTTTTATTATTAAGCTTTTCAATAGTTTACTATTGAAACAATCCATCATTTAATGCATTGCATAATATCTCATCAACTAATTGACTTAATTATTTCTTTTCTACATTACCTTAACTTCATTTATTCCAAGCAAAGATGGATAGTATCTAGCAGTGAAATACAGGATGCGCGTTCGATTGTTTGGGACTAGTCAGCTGGATGTATTTGTATCGTAGAGTTGATATCCACTGTGACTCGAACCAAATATCTTTCGCCACAAACGTCTTGATAGCCACTTGCTTGTGCAATGTGAAATTTAAATTCACTTGAGACTGTTTACTTGAATCTTCCCATTGATGTTTAGGACTACAATTGATCAGTCTCTTATTGGCATATGTGCATACTGTGAGCGTATTGTCTCGATGTTGCCTTAATTCACAAGGATAATAAGCAAAGATGGATATTGGCTAGTAGTGGAATTCAGGACGCGCGTTTCTTCCTATTCGGGACTCAGCTGGATGTGCCCGATAAAATCGAGGTAATACACATAGTATGCACATATGGCAATAAGAGACTGATCGATTGCAGTCCTAATCATCAATGGGAAGATTCAAGTAAAAACAATACCAAGGAAATTTCATTTATTCCAGTTTTTACTCGTGATTTTCATGTATTTGACCTATAACCCCAGTCCAGGTAATTATAATTACATACTAAACATATCAACATTTACAAGCATTAATCAACTTACTTTACCACTCATAACTAGTTAGTATCAAAAAGCGGTTTTGTGGATATTATAGCAATTTAATAGTTGAGTTCATAAGTCAATTGAAACTAGACCACCATGGAAAACCTCGAAGCACTGGGCGGCCGTTTCGTCCTAGTGTGGGACTTCTCGGCAGTATGTGTCTATGATCCTACCCCGCAGGACTCGTACCCAGAACTTATAGGTCTCCTGAGCGAACGCCTAACCTCTCGACCACTAAGCAGGCATTAATTATTGCTTAATTATGTATATGTTGTTATAACTTGTGACCGCCGATTAGAGGGCAGTGAATTATCGATCGGACCAAGGACACATAAAACACGTGCGAGCAGCCTAGAGTCCTGCATTCCGCCTAGCCCAGCCATTTAAGTCGAGAACACCAGTCTCAGTCTCTGCAATATGAATCATTATATTTCAAACATACTGAGTTTATATACCAATAAAACATGAAACAACATTTGTACAAGAATTAGCCAGATGTGGCTGTGAATGAGAGAGGCAGTGACTAATTGACGGAATAATTCAAGAATGGTAAAACGTATAATAATGGCTCATAGGTTAAAATAGAGCTTATGATAAGAGAAACATGAATGTGAATAGTTTAGTTAATTAACAATTATACGGTAAAAATATACGTATAGTATTGGTCCACAAATGGATCCCAAAAATTACCATTCATTATTCTTATCGAAGCACGACATATGTATATATTTTTTCTGTTGCTCAGTTTCACTAAAACTTATCTAATTTTAAGGTGAACATTACTACGATAAATACAGAATTAATGGATACTTTAAACAATGAAGGACAGGCATGCATATATGTTTTAATTGATTTTAAAATCTAGAGCAACTATCATTCTAAATAGCTGATATAAATGATCTTAATATATTGTCAGACAAGGCTGTCTACTATCCTCCTTCCTCTTTCTCCTGGTAGTCTACTGGATTATGAAGACCTTGACATCTGAGGGAAAGCACGGAATACAGTAAACAGCTAGGGATTAATTAGAAGATTTAGACTTCGGAGATAACCTGGCCCTTCTATCCCACATAAACGAACAAATGCAGACGAAGAAAACTAGTATGGTAACAGCCTCTGCATCAGTAGGCCTCAACATACACAAAGGAAAAACCAAAATCCTCAAATGCAACATGGAGGACACTAACCGAACCACATTTGATGGGGGAACTCTGGAATCTTCCACATACCTGTCAAGCATCATCGATGAACAGGGAGGATCCGGTGCAGACGTAAAGGCAAAGCAAGAACCGTATTCCTACAAATCAAAAACGAATAGAACTCCAAACAACTGTCCGTCAACCAATATCAAAGTCAGAACGTCAAGATAGTCTCATTGTATGGAGCTGAAATGTGGAGAACTACTACAATCATCATCAAGAAGGTACAAGTATTTAAAAATAGTTGTATACGCAAGATACTCAATATCCGTTGATCAGATACTACCAGCAACAGCCTAGTGTATGAGCGGACAAATCAGCTTCGAGCTGAAGAGGAAATTAGAAAGAGTTTTGAAGTGGATAAGACATACATTACGGAAATCACCAAACTGTATCACGAGGCAATCCCGAACTTGGAATCGTGAAGGGGGACAGAAAAGAGGAACGCCGAAGAACACACTTTGTTGGGAAATGGAAGCAAACATGAAAAGAATGAATAGCAACTGGAAAGGATTGCCCAGGACAGGATTGAATGGAGTGCTGTTGGGTAAACTATACTCCTTCATGAGGGATAATAGGCGTAAGTATTGTGGACTGAACCTCTGATTACAAGTTTTAGGATCACAGTCGCTAATCGTGTGCTAGATAGTTATTTTTCTACGTAATCGATGAGCCTACCAGGATTCTCACCAGTAAATCTATCAGTCACCCTTTTCCTTTTATAACACTCAAAGTTTATACGTTTTCAGTGTTGTACTTCATTTATAATTGATTGTCATATTGTATCTTAAAGAGTTTTTATCTAATTGTATACATTTCAGTGCCGTTTTGGACATCACATCGGTACGTAATTTATATAAGGGTGACAATTACGTTATCGGATTCACAGAATAATAACATTAAACTACAAGTAGCGTCAGACTGAGATACAAATCTTTTCCTGAATTCTATAAAAGATAGTTGGAATCCATGACTTCAGTAGAAATATAAATTCAATTTAATTTAAAGTCTGTTGTAATTTATGATTGAGATCATGAACCGTTAGACCACCTTTGGAAACCTGGAAGCGCTGGACGGCCGTTTCGTCCTACCGTGGGACTCCTCAGTTGTGCGCACCCACGACCCCGCTCGCGGGATTCGAATCCAGTGCCTCTGGTCTCGCGCGCGAATGCTTAACCTACTGGACCACTGAGCCGGTATCCAATGGTGATAGTGTCTAACATCAACCAATCCACGAAACTGGTCCTACGTTGTAGCTGAGTGACCCCATTTGCTTAGAGCCACACACACACACACACTCCGATTTGTATCACATCACACAGCATTGGATAAAAAAACAACTAAACAAACATTAAAAAAACAAGTGTACACTGTATGAAATTTGTTGTATATTTTGAGATGGTAATTGATGAACAATATTTTTTTCAAAAAAAGACCACTTCACATAATATATGTGTACGCAGAATACTAGAATGAGAACATTATCATCATTGAAGCAAAATTAACAAATACATATATCTATATAGTAATACAACAATGAACAAACACAGAATGATTAGATCTATTCCAACGACGAATTCATGTAATTCATCATTAAAAACGAAAAAAATTCCAGAAGATGAATAAATATATTCCCATTAGATCATTATTAATGTCCATGTGACAAATGATCAAGACAACTGTGTAAAACAAATATGATGTTACTATGTACTGAAAAGTTTATAAAAATGGAACAAAATTCAGTTTTATAAATTACAAAAAATAGACATACGAATATTAAAAAAGCAACAACATGACAAATGACAGAACACTACACACACCACAATGGTGAAATTGTTGATAGATGCATGACATTAATGAAATGATCAAAATAACCGGTTGAAGAAGTATAAGACAACGGTGAATTACACATAAATGGTTATCTACACAATGATGGAATATTAGTAATAATCATTTCTTAAAAGAATAAACATGTCTACCCGGTAGTAGAATATTCTCTCTCTCACACACACACACATACACAGTTCTCGAAGAAGAAACAGAAATGACCGTTAGGAAAATTTTAAAAAAATTCCAACAACTTTTCATGGAACATGAGAAACTGATACAGAATCTAAGAGAAGAATGTAAAAATTGGGCAGATTTCTTTTATAAAAAAATCAGTATAACAAATGTATTTTTATTACGATACAATCATAGGTGTTGTGTGTGTGTGTGTTAAATTTCGCAATTTTACTTCTTTGTGTCATTCGTGAAGTATTTCTTATATGTATCGAATAAAAATAACGAAGATGATGGTGACAATGAGAGAAAAAAGAAGAGAAGTGTAACTATGAGTAAACACACACACACACACAGAGTACCACTGTGTTGTATGATAGGATTAATTAAAGATTGTGTGAAAATGAAATTGGTCATTCGAAGGTGAAAGAGAGAAAGAGGAAAAATCTCTCGCTCAAATACACAATAGAAAAAAGACAACTCATGAAATGATTGAATGATTATTGTAAATATGTATGTGTAGAAATGAACAAGATTATAAACACATAACTAAATTACATTATTCATTGTTATTTCTGAAATAGATGAACAATACAAAGTTGGAATTATATAATCATAATGAATAGGTTCGTGAAGAGAAACATATAGGAGAACTGCATGTTTGGAAATTCTCAATTATTTAAAGATTGGTTAGGTTGGTCGACTGTTTTTTAAAAAAAATCAATTTATGCTGTTTGTACTGCACGATAATAAGCGTTTGGATCACGACCATTCACAGCACAACAAAGAGTCATTGCAAATATCAAACCAATCAGCTAGAAGGAGATTTTGAAAAGAAAAAAAACAAGCGTGATGTGGATGTTAGTTATAATTATTTACTTAACCAAACCGTTATACCTAGGAAAATGAAAGGAATGTGACAAACTAGACAACCTACTTTCAAGATATTATTACTCTTAATTACTTTTTGTATTTGATGTGTTGAATCTTCCTATTGATGATTATAACTGCAATTGATCAATCTCTTATTGGCATATGTACCTCCTAAGAGGATTACCATAAGTTGCGATGGCGTTTGAAGCGAATGGTACACGGTTTGAGTCCTAGAGGAAACATCAACACTGGGATACAGGTACATCTAATTGACGAGTCCCATGTGGGATGAAACGCGTGTCCTAAATTTCACTGCTAGCCACCATCCATTTTTGCTTATTGTTATCCCTAGTTTTTTATCTGTAGTTATAAACAGTTGGATTATTGGTTTTCTTTATTCGTCTAATCCTAAACTATTATAATTTAATCATGAGCACAGTATTCTGACTTTTACCCTGAATGCCTTACTTTTATTAATTATGGTATTCACTATTCTATTGTGCATCGTGGCCTACCAGTGTACTCAGTTAGTTGAATACCTTTCGAGTTAACACCCATCGTTTTATTCGGACGTACAGTTTTTCGACCACTGCCAACTAACCGGAGTCCACCTAGCGGATCGTTAGTCGGTCTATTCACCAATTTATTTGCTAAGGTTATATTACAATTTAATAACCATACTGTCCACCAAACACTAGTTACATTTTCAGCAGTCGATGCGTAGCATTTATTTGATTCGATTATTAATGAGTTTGCAGGTATCGATGGTAAATAACTATTTACTCTCACGAAGAGGCTTACACCAAGGTCACGAAGCATCAGAAATACAATTTTCTACTCACTGTGATATTACAAAAAATATATTTATTAATATAATGCTTATTACATCAGTCATATACAAAGACACACGCTTTTTTTACATGAAACTTACCTCAATGAGGGCTATTGTAATAACCGAGATACATATGATTAGGAAATTATGCATAATATTGTCAATTCTTTCTTTACAACCCTAGAGATTAAACAAAAAGAACAGATCATTTGGCTGTAAATAAAATCTGAATCAATAATCATGATAATAAAAGGTATTCATCTATCCATTACAAGTTTAAGTATACTCGACTTCCGGACAACACTGGTTTTATGTGAGGACTACAAATACGAATACCCAGTTGGTCAGACTCAAGTACTCGAAACAAAGTATCAACTGTTGTGGTGCACCAATTGAAAGCCGACTACGTTAATCGCTAAGTCACTTCAAACACAATCACAAACCATTTAAAAGGGAAGGATGAAAGAATGGTTAAAAATCCAAGGGTTTAATGGGGGACTTGCCCATTCTTAGACACCATTAATTAACATGTCAACGAGCAGGCTGAGGTCACTTTAATACACCTCCTATTCAGGCAGGCACACGATATCTGAGGTGCATTTTATCTACGATAACTGAAAACTGATTAGAATAAACGTGTTGCATTATCAATAGGTCAACTATTCGTTGCTAATATTTGGAAGATTTCACAAAACAAACAAACGGATAGTGGCAAGTGAAAATTTTGAGTGGATTTTCTACAGTAAACCAACGACACGTTAAGAAAAATAAAATGCATGTCCAAAGTGGATGCATATATGAACATACATATCCTGAGACTAGTCGTCTGTTTAACAAATACAGTTTAAGACGTGCATATGATGTATATTGTTAAACCATTCTACATATTGACACACATTTATAGATACGAAATGTATGAATTTTATAAAAATAAATGAAATATTCTGAAATTTATAGAGCTAGACAACTAATGCTTACTTACCGTCTGAAAACTGAGCAAAGCGAAATCCATAGCACATTGATCATTTAAACAACAAGAAGGGACTTTAGCAATACCATAGTCTGTAGGTCCATTGTAACCGCAACATTGGAACTAGACAGAAAAATTCAAGCATACATACATATTTTGATATTTTTTAACATATACAACTCGATAAGTACATATTCTTGGAAAAAAAATCGCAGTCAGATACTTAAGTGGATTGGTTAGTTATAAAGGTAACAAACTATGTGAAATGTGCTTTCTCTTCCTTCGGTAACTTCACATGATAAAATGGTAGTGCAAGGAGCAAACCAATTAGAATTGGGAATACAAACTTTAAGTTTTAGGCAAAATTTCAAAAATGAATGAATTCTGCCATATATAGCGTAACACGAGTAGGAGAAATACTTTTGTGTGACGATGAGAACTTTTAAAGTTATAACGAAAAATTATTTTTGTTGTCAGAGTGAAAATTAGTGTTAAATATATATAATACTTAACCAGACCACCTGGTAGGGATCTGTGGGATTATCGTAACCAACGGTTAAGGCGTCTAACTTTCATTCATTGAGTCCCAGACAAAAACCCTATCGTCTACTTCGATTTGAGCAACCGGGTAGTATTTTTGGCCCTCAGACTGGATACGCCTCACACTTAAGTACCTCAGTGTTTTATCTTAGAATAATTAGCAATGGCTTAAGTGTGTTCACTCTTTATCTTCCCTTACATCCTGAGTCCCAAAATCTCCTTATATTTGAGGCTTGAGAAGTTGGATGTTATTTAATTTAATTTACAGACAGGAAAACCTGAACACCTTAATAGATTCACTAATTGCGTGAAGCTTTTTTTAATGTTGTTCTTTTCCATAAACCATTCATTTACAATGGGTTAAAATTATTCGTGGTTGTTTTAATAATCGCTCAATCGCGCCTTACACTTGCCCTTCAGATAGCAAAAATACTAGGTAAACCGCAGAACATCTCAGATTTACTTCGTTCAATTGTCAATTAAGATTTAATTTCTGCGTTTATATTTATCACACTCATCTGCTTTGAACGTACTTCGGTCGATGCTGATGAAGTATTTAAATTAAACACAAAAGTACGACTTAACAGTACAATTCAAAACACTAAGACATATATATTTTAGTAGTCAACACCTGAATAAATGAAACACGTCTTTGTGATCGATGTGTAGAAAAACCTAGTTTTTCGTTCAGTCAGTCAGTCAGTAACAACGTAGAACTTCGTACGTACGTACATCAGTTCGAGTTGCCACACCACATTAGCACAGAGATGCAGTTATCGATTCAAATCCCGTAGTGGTAGAGGTAATAAGAGTATGAGCAGTAATCGGGAAGATTAGGGTTTGGAGATGTTATTTAAAGGGTATAATACAGTGAAATAAATTTGGAAAGAGGAAAAAAGGGACATGAAGAATTCAGAAGATTAGAATTTGGGAGAACACAGAGAGTGGATGCATCTGCGCCATCACAAACGATTTTGAGCCATGTCATTCAAGGTCTCTAACCATCGGTTGCTATCATCTCGCGGTCCCCAACCAGGTAGTCTACATCTACCAACATGACTCAGTTCACTTGTCAGTGACTTCATGGACTTGTGCCATGTTTTGGTCTGGCCGCCCCTAGCTTTCTTCCAACCTACTCCTATACCACTGAACATAGCACGTCGAGGCAGTCGGTCGTTCGGCATACGTAACACGTGTCCCAGCCATCTCAACTGATGAAGTTTCACTACTTCATCAATTGATTTGCCATTTTTACCTAGTACCCGTTTCCTAACAACTGTGTTACTTACTCGATGGTCCCAGGATATACGAGCAATATTTCGAAGACTCCTATGATCAAATACTAGTAACCTACGGATATCCTCTACTCTTACCGGCCATGTTTCACTTCCATAAAGTAGGACGGAACGAACTGCTGCGCAGTAAACCCGTCCTTTGGTTGATAGACGGATATCTCGCCTACGCCATAGATGACGCAGGTTGGCAAAAGCTAGTCGAGCCTTCTGTATCCGTGCTGAGATTTCGTCACAAACCAGACCACAAGGGCTGATGAGACTTCCAAGATAAGTGAAGCGGTCGACACACTCAACTACTTCACTCCCTATCACTAGTTCGGGTGTCGATGTAACCCAATCCTGAAGCAACATTTTGCATTTCGAGGGAGAGAATCGCATCCCGAACATGCTTACATTGTTGCTTAGAATGGTCAGAAGACTCTGTATTTTGTCAGCGTCTTCACCAAACAGAACTATGTCATCTGCATATTCTAAGTCAACAAGTGAACCTCCTGGTAGAAGTTCAACCCCTGGAAATTTAGATGAGGAGAGTGTTATCTCTAAAAGTACGTCGACCACAAAGTTGAACAAGAATGGGGAGAGTGGACAGCCCTGACGAACACCACTTGAGGTAATCAATTCTGATGACAGTTCGCCATAAGCTCTCACTCTACCAGTTGTGTTCGAGCTACGTAGCATGTAAACGTGAAAAAAGGCCTAAACAGATTATTAAAAATATTAAATTGATTTCATTGCCAAGAAACTTATGCTCAACTCGAGTTCCACATATTTCAAAGATAGGGGGAAATATATTGTTACTTGGAGTGAACCTCCGCCCCCTTTTATTTTTTGTCATAGATATACTTTTAGTAATAATACTTTAGGGATTATCATACTATTTGAGACCAACTGACTGACTTAGTGTATAAAAATGATATAGTTCTGATTGATGAAGACGACGTTAAATGCAGTTTTCTGAACACGTGGAATAACAATCCAAAAATATTCGGGATATAGAGTAGGTGAAGCAGCGTTACAACATATGACTACCAAGTCACACATGTAGTTGTAGAGATTAGTTGGGAAATTATGAGTCAAAACACATTTTTACAAGTACAAACAATACCATATATGTTAAAATATCATAGCAATTTATTCTTAAATGTTATGGGAGGAAACAGAAATATACAATATCTTACCATAACATGGATTGCATCCATCCATCGAACTTCATTGTTGGAATTTTTCCAATCTTCAACACCTTCTTTAAGTGTTTCGTGGATAATTGCACGTGCCTAGTGAGGTATTGAATAAAAATGCACAAAGCAAAAATGCAACATAAAGGAATAAATTTGAAATATTTTCTGTGTAATAACTATACCACACAATGTTACGTGTTTAGTTGCATAAATTAATAGCATGATCATCTGTGTATATAATCTACCCCTCCCTAGATTTCTCAGATATTTTACTGTGTTGTGGAGTGCTGAAGCCAATTAGTATAGTATTTTGTGAATCTTTTGATGTCATTAAAAATGTTTGTCGATAGACAGTTGAAATCTTGGTGAGTTTTATTTTATCAGATACATAACCTGCACCCCATTTGCTTCATACTCCTTGCATATTTTCTAGAAAAACGAAACGCATATGATACATTCACACAAAAAGCACATAAAATATATAATGCCACATCTAGCACATATATTACACAACAAACAAGTTGTAAGGGTTGACTTAGCCAAAAATGCAAACTCTTGAAACATTTATTTACATTCTCACTGTTTTTGCAAAGATTTCTATGCCACTGTATTTACTTATTTTTGTATATATATGTGATAAGACAAGTCATAGGAACTTGTCGGAATATTGTGCACTGAGAATTCCATATTGTACTAAATATATAACACTGAACAGGCCCACTATTATTACCACTAGTATTATCATTAAATTACTCAATAGGATATTTCAGTGAAATATGGACGTCATTTAAATGACAAATAGAAGCTGAAAATGGTGGTGTTATTCAACTCATTTAGCACCTGTCAGTTAGCGTAACAGAGCACAATCGGGGTGAGATGAAGCCCTTTGTTATTTAATATACAAATTCCGGTACAACAGGGTATTGAAAAAGCATGCGACACACAAACAATACTGTACAGATATAAACGAGGGAAGGGCCGTATGTCGTAAATTGACTTTTCCTTCTGAATCCCAGCGTCGGCAAATAATGCATGATGTGAAAACCATTGGGATATGATTCGTAACAGATGACCAAACCACCAAATCCGGTGTTTCTAAAAAATGGTACCAACCGAGTTATCATCAATGAGCCCGGAACGTCCATATTACCAAAATGGTGCTGCTATTGAATGATAGCGACTGGACTACACGTATACAATTGGTTTGAACCTAGTTTTTTTAAACTCCCCTGGATGCACATTTCGTATCCACCTTCGGATGTATCAGGGCATTGGGGGGCGGATCCGTTAAACTGTGAGATGACCATGTTATCATTAGTGTATCACTTTATTCCTTTGGTCACTAGTTTCTAACTTTATGACGATTAGTGAAAATACTCGACTATCCCAATGAAAGTGTGTAGGACGGCGCTTGAATATGTGATGCATTTACTGAAAGTCAAATGCTTTAATTATTGTTTTAAACAAAATAACACTGAATGCTTAAGTTATCAGACAACCACTTAACAGATGGTTGTAAAACGTTAAAGATCAGACGTGGTGTGCACCAATAAAGTTAATACATCATCCCCCTAAAGCTCCGAATTCGGTTTAACAACAGAAATAAGTAATCCATTTCTATTATTAGGTATACCACCACTACAATGCTATGAACACATTTGCGCAAGGTGCTGAGTAAAATCAACAACACTGAAAGAGCACTGGAACCGAAATGTACGTAATAGGTTAAGATTACAACTTGATAATTGCAAACCGACTGACTGACTGACTGAACCGAATAACCGAGCCATTGTGTGCTACATCCACATTATTGATGTTTAGAACTTTTTGTAAAGTATATTATTTATTTATTTGAACACATAAATATTGGTACAAGAGAGCGCCAATATATATGCGCCACACAAAACAATGGGAATTCGAAGAGAAGTAGAAAGAAAAAAAAACTAAGGAACGCAAAAGAAAAAGAGAGTAATGACGAAGAGGTACAATCAGAAGAAATCTTTCAGGTAAAGGAGACACAACCACTTTTTATGAAGAAAGTAAAAGAAGATTACAGCAGGATCGCCACTGGCTTCTATTCTGAGCCATATCTGATAACGTCTCTAGCCACTGTGTAGCACCATCTCTCGGACCCCAGCCAGGGAGTCGTGAAGGACCAACACAAGCCAGTCCTTTGCAGCTTTCTTTCATGCCACGACACCATGTCATGCACTGACCACCTCTCCGCTTCTTCCAACCAGTCCCAGAGTCGGCAAATAATGCACGACGTGGAATTCTCTGGGACGACATTCGGAGAACATGTCCAAGCCACCGAAGTCGGTGTTTCAAGATGGTGACACCAATTGCATTATCATCTCTGTGCCCGAACACACGATGCCGAACCTCTGCATTACTGACATGGTGTTGCCACTGAATGTCAGCAATCCTTCGGAGACAGCGATGATCGAACACAGAGAGTCGTCTAACGTCCTCAACTCGGAGAGGCCAGGTTTCACAAGCATAGAGCAAAACTGCTCTCACCGACGCGTTGTAGATCCGACCTTTTACAGCCAGACTAACATCACGAAGGCGCCAAAGATGGCCCAGATTGGCATAAACCGCTCTGGCTTTCACTATACGTGCATTGATCTCATCACTCACACCCCCACCAGCACTTATGCAGCTACCCAGATACACGAACTTCTCAACTACGTCTATCTGCTCACCGTCCAGGGTGAGTACAGGATTAGAATCCTGCCAGTCTTGTAGAAGTACTTTGCACTTCGAAGGTGCAAAGCACATACCATACCTACGGACATTGATTGCCAACTGATTAAGTGCGGATTGCATGCCTTGGGCATTATCGCACAGTAAGACAATATCGTCCGCATACTCAAGGTCGAGAAGTCTTTCTCCAGGCAACAGATCCACACCACCATTACTTACATTCATCAGAGCTGTTTCCAGAATGTCATCGATGGCAAAGTTGAAGAGGAATGGTGAGATTGGGCAACCCTGCCTAACCCCACTGCTCGAATGGAACAATGAAGAGAGGTGGTTGTATGCCCTCACTCTGCCTGAGGTGTTTTTATACAGGGCTTTTAGGATGTTAATAAACTTCTCAGGCACACCCTTCTTCAATAGACAATCCCAGAGAACAGTCCTATCCAACGAATCGAAGGCAGCCCTGATGTCAAGAAACACTACGATTGTTGGCCTTTGAAAAGTATGGCGGTGTTCTAACATTTGGCGGAGGGTGAATATATGATCAATACATCCTCGACCAGAACGAAACCCAGCCTGCTCCTCGCGAGTCAATCTTTCTCGGGTTTTGAACAACCTACGAAGAATGACGGAAGCCAATAGCTTGGACGCAATCGGAAGTAAACTTATCCCCCGATAGTTGTTACAAGAACGACGTGAACCCTTTTTAAAGATAGGGACAACTATCGACTCATTCCATGACGTTGGTACACTCTCTAGTTCCCAAACCTTTGTAAACAACGTCGTCAATTCCTTAGTCAAAAAGTCACCACCATCTTTAAAAAGAGCCGGAGGTAAGTCATCTGGGCCAGGTGATTTGTAACGCTTCAAGAGTTGGAGTTCCTTGCGGACTTCCTCCTCATTTGGTGGATCAGTCGTCACCGGCCATGGAGGGCAGGACAGTCTGACCGATGTTGCCGGAGCAGCAGGCCAGTTGAACTGCCCTTCGAAAAATTCTGCCCATCGTCCAAGACGTCGATGGATGTTAGTGATTGGCATCCCATCATCCTCGCAGATTGTTTCACTCACACCAGACTTCTTGCTGCCAGTGGCTCGGATGAGTTGGAAGAGCTTCCGGTAGTTACTAGATGCAGCTGCTGCTTCCAGCTCATTAGCACGCATCGACCACCAGGCTTCTCGGTCCTTACGCAAGCTTTGCCCAATTTCCTTACGTAACATCCTTCGTTTATGGTCAAACTCACGGTCACCCGGAGTAGACCGACGGGCTTCAATGAGTTGTAAGGAACCTGCAGAAACCCAGTGCTTAAAAGCGGGACGTTTCGCAAACCCACAACTGACTGTTCCCGCCATTTTCATGGCGTCATGCAATTGCAACCAATGCTCATCTATACTTTTCGGTGGAGTGGTAGCTAGCCTAGAGGCTAGCTCAGTTCGATACTTACTTGCAACAGAAGTTGCAACCAGCTTGCTAACATCAATCCGTTGATGGCGTTCACTTCGTTGTCCACTGAAAAGTAAGGCAAGATTGGCGCAGACCAAGGCATGGTCAGAGTCCAGATAGGTACTCCAAAAGGAGCGGCAGTCTTGTACACAACCACGCCAGCGGTAGCTGATCGCGATGTGATCAATCTGAGTCCAGGCTTGAGATGCAGAGGGAGGACGCCAGGTGGCACATCGGCGATGACTGTGCCGAAAGTTAGTGCTAGCCAGAAACAGGTTGTGGTCTGTGCAAAGTTGCAGTAGACGGTCCCCGTTATCTGACCTGCGACCAACGAGTCCCCATCGGCCACCTAAACGACTCTCTTCTGTGCCTAGACGCCCGACCTGAGCATTCAAGTCTCCGGCTAGTACTACAATATCTGTCGAACGCACTTTCTGGAGAAGAACTGATAACTGGTGGTAAAACTCATCCTTGATTGCATCCGGGCTGCAATCTGTCGGGGCATAGGCGGAGATGACGAAAAGACATCTTTTCTCACGCCGATTTCTTCTCACTTTGATGGAACTTTCTAATCTAACAGCACATAACCGACTGTTAATGGGGATCCAATCGACTAGTGCTGCCTCAGCTCTAGCGCTTAGTGCGACACCAACGCCAGCAAGACCAGACGAAGATGCCACAGGGTCCCTGGATAAGCGCACGTAAAACAAGCTTTTCGAAGCGACAGATGGAGATCGAATTTGTAGTACTTCGCCAGAGTCTTGAATACGGGTCTCGGATAGACAACACACGTCGATATTAAGACTTTCCAAAGACATAGCCAGCCCTATCTGTTGTCCGACCTGCATAAATGTGCGAACGTTGAAGGCAGCCAGTTTGAATGATGCACGTGGTTTCAGAAAATCTGCTTCAGTCCTCGTATTCGGTGGTAACATACAATTTTCAACCGGACAGTGACTCGAGAACGTTTAGATACAGTCGGAATTCCACCAAAGACGAGCCGCTGTATAAGTATAAAAGAAGGTGAATAATGTGGAAAATAATAATAATAATGATGATAATAACAATAATGACAATAATAGTAGTAATAATAATATTAGTACTAATAATGACAATAATTGTAGTGATCATAATTTGAATCAATTGATTGTTTTTCAAAGCGACAAAAGTAATTTCCATAGACATAAAGAGTTCATCATTTGTGTGTGGGCTGTGATACTGCTCGGGTGCCCAAACCGAAGCAGGTGGTTATCTTAGGGGGCCACTCCCCGAGCCTTTGACCTAAAGGTCTAACCCACAAGGCAGTGGAGCATCGTAAGGAGATGCAGTCCCATGGTAGCCGGTGACCAACGATTGGTTCATACGCCATTCGTTCCCGCAGGATACTGGAGCCCATGTGCACCATTGATTTGGAATCCGGTTAAAGCGCCGGACATTCGCTTTTCGTCCTCTCATTTTCGTAAACAACACTCCCGCCACGAGAAGGCAATGAGTAGGACTTCCCTGGCAGAGGCTGTATACGCGTGGCCGTGTGAGAGTATTTCGAGAGGGAGAGCGGACTCTCCCCACTCCCGGCCGTACCAGGGCATTCAGGGGGTTAAGATTACAACTTGATAATTGCAAACCGACTGACTGACTGAACCGAATAACCGAGCCATTGTGTGCTACATCCACATTATTGATGTTTAGAACTTTTTGTAAAGTATATACATTTAAATACAAATTTAAACTTACCTGTTCTCTATGAACGAACCCAGCTACGCCAATAGCAATTTCGATGGCGAAAATAACCAGTAACAGAGCAAAATAAAAGCCCAACAAACATCGACTATAGTGATATGAGCCACAACAACCTAATATTCCCAATACAAAGCTCAGAGCCCCAATAGCAGCCAGAACGATATAAGTATAAGCCAATATATTGTGCTGATCAGTACCTCTAACCCCGAATGTTGAAAAGTAGAAGTACAGAGCAGCGGATAAAACAATCATCCCTATGATCTAGAAGCAGAATAAAAATTCAACACAATAATACAGACTCTACAAAAATACCAAAAGGTTTGTTTACTATGCATTTATGTACATGAACTAATCTTACACAAAAGAACTATACATGTTTAAGCTAAAGTATTCAACTATACTATTTAACAAGCTCTGCAAGTTTGCTACTCTTCAGATTCTTATGCTCCTGAAAATATGAGCAGACTCTCTAGTTCACTAGGTTATTTATCTACAGAGAGAAGTTGGGAAACAATTAGCTTGCGAAACACAGATTTTCGGAGCGTCACATAACGTTAGGGTAATTTGCTATCAAGAATAAACAGGCAAAACACGAGTCTTTTCCTTAGTTTATCCTTTCTAGCTTATGATCAGAACAGGAAAACAAAATCACTAGATATACACTTCAGTACTTTTGAAAGCATAAATTTGCCAGTAGAAAGCTCAATATTGAGATCTGACTTCAATTTAGATGTAGTTGTATTTAGCTGTACTGTTATACAATTAACCACGGTATGAGCAGTTTTAGCCAGCAGTTATCGACTAAATGAATTGTTTGTAAGGGAATAATTCGAGTCCATCACATCTCGAGAAATAAAGTTTAATGAACTTGTAAAAACTCGTAGCAGTTTAGTTTCCCTGAAGAATGGTTATTATTGGGATGACGGCCAAAATATTGTAGTGAGCGTAAACTTTAAGGGCTTTTAAAATACTAGAGTTTGGGTGGAAGTAGTGCCTTTTCGCCAAACGCTATCATGGCCCACTGTAATTGAGATGAACATTTTCCACTCCTTACCTAACAATTCATAAGTTAGGTTTAGTCTCGAAGCTAGCACTTAAAGACGACAGCAACTTGAGCAAATATCCCTTAGCATTTGTGGGCTTCTTCACAAACTTTACCATAAACTCTAAGATAACTAAGAAGGTCAGTTTGAGAGAATGTTGACCAACCACTGTTAGATGATTGGGGACTTTCATCAAATAGGCCTTTCCAGTTCCTTTTAGAAATCTGCTGCGATCTGAAATCCCGAAACCCTAATTTACTAGATGCTACTGAAGTTTCTCAAAAGAAAACAATGCGAAAGTTTTCAATTATAAACTTAGATTCAAATCCAGATATACATAACGCCGTCTGCATGTAAATTTGAGAGACCCAAAATATCTCGCATAAGACCTTGTAAGTGACTCCCAATGCAACCATGATTCATAAGGTATTTTTCCTTGGGACTTTTATAAAACACTATTAATGCACTCTTGTTAAAATAAGCAATATGATTCTGGTAGATGTCTTAATGTCGCCCACTTCCAGTAGTATCCCATTTTGGTAGATGAAACTGATCTACTTAACGATTGGTTGGGTGAAAATTAGTCTTAGAAACCCGAAGGATAAGACCATAACGTATGGACAAACCAATATGACTAAGGATAGCATGCCTTGGGTTTTGGCGAAAACCCATTCATCCATATGGCTAAGTGGCATTTGTGAATTATAGCTGACGTCAGTCCGTGGTGTAGTCCCTTATGCTAATCACAGCTACTCTGACTGATTTGCGACCTTTTAGCCTTGGCAAGTTGGTGCATACTTTCAAGCCTAATCAACCATCGCACAAAATCACCCCAGGTTACAATCACACCAAAACATTTAGTTATATTAGTACATGTAGATGTAAAACTTTCGGTGTACCATGCATTTGTACGAGTATGTACGCAGAGTCCCTACTGCGCAGCTGCAAGTAAGTAGTCTAAATAAGAATTCTTAAAAACCACTATATTTATCCAGACAAAATAATTAACACCAGTACCAAACCTTTTCATCCAATGTGATGTCCCCGGTACGTTAGAAAAAAGTTGACATTGAGGTCAGAATAAATTATAATGGTTCAGAAAGGCAATATTGTGATGATCCTAACTTAAGTTAGGATATGTTTACAAACTGAAACACTGTGGCCACAGAGGTCCTGAGTTCACTAGATCATGACTAGTTTCAAATGCCCAAACTCCCTATTTTGGGGTTTTTGAGCCATTTTCCCAAAATTTTCTATAGCGGTTTCCCCAAAATAAGATTTGGTGGTTGTAAACAATATGAACATAAATTATTACTTGTTATAATACACTACAAAAGCACTTACTGTAAACAGGATGTTAAACACAATCATCAGCACGCGAACGCATCCTGCACAAGACTTGCACATCCTGAGGAAAAAGACTACAACGCTCAACGATCTTCCAGAATTCAAAGCAGGTACGGACCCCGGGTAAATATGTTAACGATCGTGGCTCAATATCTTATTGACAAAGAGCCAGTCCAATATTCAATTTTAAAAGGCTAAGTTACCTACAAAATTTTAGAACCGAGTCTAAATGTGGATATACATTTGATTCTGGATGGAGGAATCAGTGTGTGTACATATATGCTTGGTTGATATATCTCATCAAGAACTAGATTCAGATTCAGATTTGTGTAGTAAGGACAGAAGGCCTATGTTATTCCTTTTCTAGTATGCTTCTGTGAGTGTCCAATCTTCTCTTGAAAGAGTCAGTTGAAGGTGTGGACACCACTGCTTCAGGCAGCAGGTTCCAAGTACTGATGACTCGGTGTGAAAACCTGTATACCACGGGTATTTCGTTCGTTCTTGGCTTTTCTATGTCCTCTGAGGTGTCCCGATCTAGTGGGAAGAAAAAGAGAGAATAAGTTAGGTCCGAATTCATTTTTCAGTATTCTGTATATCAAAATTAGATCTCCCCTTAATCTGCGATAGGACAGAGTAAAGAGGTCCAGTTTTTCAAGCCGCTCTTTGTATGATAAACCCCGGAGTTCCGGAATTGCACAGGTAGCTGCCCTCTGTACTTTTTATAGTATGTCCGAGTCACCTTTTGAGCAGGGGCTTGCAGCCTGAACGCAGTTTTCTAGCCTAGTTCTTACTAAGGATGTGTATAATGTGGTGAACATGGTAGTATCTAACTTAGTGAATGTCGTTTTTAAAGCCCAGAGGGTTCGAAACCCATAGGCTGCGACCTCCCGGAAATGGGCCGTCGTCTTAAGATCATTACTCACTGTCACCCCTAGATCCTTATGAGACCAGACTACTGGTAATGACACATCCCCTATGTTGTACGTATTAACCTTTGAATCCCCCAAGTGCATGTAAACACACTTTTCCGAGTTGATAGGCACCAGCCACTCTTTAGACCAGTTTATCATATTATTTAAGTCTGACTGAAGAGTAAATGCGTCTTTGTCTCCAGTTATTACTCGCCAAATTTTTACATCGTCAACGTATAATAACATTGGAGACTGTACTATACTTGTTAGATCATTAACGTACATTATACAAAGTAAAGGACCTGGGACGGAACCTTAAGTTACCCCACTAAGTACTGGTCTGCAGATGGAGCACCTGGAGTTTATTTTTACTTTCTGTCTACGACCTACTAAAAAATGCTTAATCCATTTTAAAAGAGGTCCGGCAATACCAAGCTTTGCCAACTTCAGTAGCAGTCTATTAGTTGGCACCTTGTCAAAAGCCTTACTGAAATCTATGTAGACAACATCCACTGAGTTTCCGTTGTCTAGCGCATTTATCCAGAACTCCCTAGCTATAAGGAGGTTCGTTGTACAGGATAGACCCTTTCTAAAACCATGTTGTGCCATGTTCAGCAAGTTATTGGTTTCCATAAATGCCATTATGGTCCGTTTGATTATTCTTTCCAGTGTTTTAATTACAACACTGGTGAGACTTACGGGTCTGTAATTCGATGGAACTTGTCGTGGACCTGTCTTATGTATGGGAGTGACGATTGCGTCCTTCTAGTCCATAGGTAACACACCTTGATCAAGTGACATATTGAATATCACAGTCAGTGGGGTCGCGATATATTGAGCAATATGTCTCAAGATTTTGGGGTGTGGTTCATCTGGTCCTGTTAACCTCTCCATGTTTAGGGTGCTGAGAGCCTTAAGCACATCGTTTTGGTCGAAGTCCACGGTGAGCAGCTGGTTTGTTGACTCTGTATTTGGGTCTGGTTCTTTCTGTAGAGGAGGTTCCTCAGTGAAAACTGCCCCAAAATAGTCAGCCATGGCCTCTGCTTTTCCCTGATCTTCCTCTATCATTTCATATCATTAGAGAACGAAATACGTGAGCCTTATGATGTAGAGCTTTCAGATGCTTATTCAAGTGATAAATCATTATCAGTAGACGACAAGGCGGCTATAAAGATTGTGGAAGGGGGCACGCGCTTCGACAACGGTCATTTTGTAGTTTCTATACCGTAGAAAAAGAATCCAAATATGAAAGTGGATAATTATGAAGTAGCAAACCGTAGATTACAAAGTCTGAAGGGTATGTTGTCGAATGATGTCAGTCTGCACATCAGGTATATCAAAAGTATTGAGAGTAATTTTACTAAGACTTATGCGGAGAGGTCCTTGAAATATATTTGCAGCCGGATTATCGCCCTAGAGGGTATTTACCTCATCATGCAGTGTTAAACATGAAGAAACCAGAAGAACTTAGAGTGGTTCTTGATTGTGCCGCCGAGTTTGCAGGGGTTTTCATGAATGATATGATTTATCAAGAACCCGATACCACTGCTGAGTTAATGTGCATATTATTAAGTTTTCGCAAGGAGACAGTTACAATCCCTGCAGATGTTGAAGAAATGTTCATGCAAGTGAAGTTCCCTGAGTCTGATAGAGGAGTTTCATGAATTCTGTGGTGGCAGGAGGTGGACATGTCGAGGGAACCATCTGAGTTTCAAATGACAACTCATGCATTTGGTGCCACATCATCGCCGTTTCGTGCGAACTTTATCCTGAATAAGACGGCCCAGATATTCTCTGACGATATTGAGTTTAGAAAAACTGCTGTGGTTAACTTGAGTAGTATAAAGTACAACATGACACCTATTCTCTCTTATTATTCCGAGTGGTTGAAATTAGTCAGAGCTGTAATTTGGTTTAGAAGGTTCATCGAGTTCCTGGTGGTACTTCGTTTACCGAGTTGTGAAGGATCCGTTCATCTAGGATGTTTAAAAGTCAAAGAGCTTGGTATTACCAAGCGTAAGGTTTTATTGATGGTTCAGAGAGAAGTGTATGGAGAATTACTTAGTGAAGTTAAAAACAGCAGTAAAGTAATATGTCATGATGATCTGAGAGGTTTAGCATTGATAATGCGTGATGGGTTACTCTGCGTTGGAGGTCGACTAAGATACTCAGATTTCCCAAATGCTTTTAAACATCCAGTAATTTTACCCAGTCGACACTTAGCGACGGAAATGATAATTAGACATTGTCCTAAAGAACAAGGACACATAAGAAGATCATTAGAAAAAGGGTATGGATATGTATTTACTTGTTTGCAAAATGGGTAGTACATATCGAAATGATGTGTAGTTTGATTACTGATTCATTTATAATGGCCTTATAATGTTGTATTGGAAGAAAAAATAAACCTCCGGAGATTTACAGTGGCAGTGCGTCAAGCTTCGTGGGGGCAGTTTCTGAGTTAAGGAAATTTGTGCAACAGTCGAATCAGCCAAAGATAGATAGTGAATGGTCAGCGAGGCCCTCATCCAACAGCATGGGTGGAGTTTGGGGAAGAGTGATTAGGTCTATACCACGAGTTTTATTGTTGAACACCAGAGAACAAGTGAAGCAGGTCTTCTTGACGCTTCGGATTAGTCTTTGTTGTTATTAATGTAGGTAGGTCGAGTAGGCGTACTGTTGTAAGTCCTACTCGTTCCTATAGTGTCATATGCTACATAATGAACCATGACCATAGGCATCAAGGTAGCTTGTGTGATATGGAGGGATTTCGGGGGCCGGTGTAAGATCCATTTTGAATGCTTTGTGTGTTTGTGAAAATCCATCCATGCATATACTTGCACTTTGTTCCTATTGATCCTCTTGGTTGTACATTGTTAACTTTTCGGCTACATTTGAATTGTTAATATTTGTATTTTATTATAGTTTTCGTTTTTACTACACCTTCACTAATTCCCCATGTTTCCTCCCGAACTGCACTTATGTTGTTTTACTTTATACTAAGTCTGGGCGGCAGCCATATTGGTTTGTTCCTGCTTTTGATTGCTTGACCCGTGTTGACTGGAATTGTGCATTTTGGTTGTGAATTGAAGCACTCTTCCAGAATTGAAAACACTCTGTGTTATAGAGCGACCAATTATTACCTTTCGAACGAATCTGTACGTGATCTATCCAGACAGAATAGAATAACATTTATTTGTGGTGATTGTTTAGATTTGATCAATTGAACAATTATTGGTTGGATAGCTGAGTGGTTATATTTATTTAGGTAATAATGTACACCTAAATTTATGATAAATTATAGAACCGCTATCTTACCCAATTACTTTGTTTTGGTTTCAAACGGGTGAGGGCGCGTATCTAACTCATCCAGGCAGCTGTCCAGCAGTCCAAACATAGTTTGGATCTTACAGGTTGGGAATCCAATGATGCATCCTTGTTCTGTAGTTTATGTACGAGAATATTCTCTTGGGCTTCTTGAGTGGAGATTGTGCCAGCTGCATTTCATATTTTCTCTGAGCTCCCCGAATTTTTGTTATACACTTGTTTCTTACCGATTTGTAACGTTCCATCGTACCTGCTGTGCCAAGGCGGATGGCAACCTCCCAGCATTTCTTTTTTTGTCATAGTTAGCGTCCAATATCCCGCCCCATTCCAGGGATGGCCAATCTTTTTTTTCTTTGGGACAGTCCAGGGTATGTATGGTTGAGTTACCCGATTGTATAACTGCCTGAATAGAGTCCATGCCTCTTGTACTGATGCCTTCGAGTCAATTTCCCAGTTTTCAGCGGATGCTGCGGAGTTAATTGTCTGCATACCTGCCTTCCATATGTTGGGACGGGCCGATGCAACTATTTGACAAGCAATCTCAGCCATGAATTTGAATAAGATGACTGCATGGTCACTTCTCCCAAATGGTGGGAGAAAAGCCACTTGATCAACATCATCACCATGTGTGAAAACTAAATCTAAATGAGAGGAAGAGTTTCTTAAGTCGTATCTTGTGGGATCTCCAATGTGTTGGAATTATGCTAACCCAATCGATGTTTCTAACAGTTTGCAGTCTAACGACGATATCGACGACCCTACTTCTAAGTTAACCCAGTTTATATATGGTGCATTAAAGTCGCCTACTACAAGACTTTTACC